GAGTAAGTTGCAAACTAAGTGCAGCTGAGAAACCAAGATCATTGATAGCACCATATAAACTCCCTTGTGTTAATCTCTTAGTACTACTCCTGTCCCTGGGGCAGAGCGTGGGTGGGGGAGTGGGCTCCACTTAGGCTGTGAGGAGCCATTCATTTACATAAAAGTACAGATGGAAGTGAGCAATTGCATTGACATTGTGTAAAGTAAAGGAATAAAAAATAAGAGCTGAATAGCCTGCAGGATGGCTCAGTGGGTATAAGCACCTGCCACAGAGCTGACAATCTGAGTTAGATTCCTTGAGCCCAGTGGTGGAGGGAGAGAACTGTTGTCCTCTGACCTCTACATGCATGACCTGACATATGCACACCCTGACACATGCACAGGCTGGCAAATATGCAAAATAAGTAAATGAATAATGGTCAAAGACTAAATCTCGGTGAGTGACCACATTTTGAGATTATAAGGACTGTTGTTTCGTGTATCTCTAGTGTGTAGTGTAAGAAATGATGGAACTTTTAAGAGCTGGAGCCTAGTGAGTGACAGGTCATTGAGAGTGTTGCTCTTGAATGGGATTGGTGTAGTTCTAATGGCCTTTCCAGTTAGTGCCCCCAGAATGAACTATTATAAAAACGTGAGCCTAGTGACCCCTTCCCTGTCTTGCCATATGATCTTATTCTCAAACTCTTTCCTGACATGATGATGCCATCTGATGCAAGACCCTCACCAGAGCAGAGCAGAGTAGGGTCAACACACCATGCCCCTGAACCTCCAGAACAGAGAACTAAACTAATTTATAACAGACTTAAGTATTTTGTTACAGCCACAGAAAACAACATAATGCAGGATTTGAAAGAATGAGTTAAGACCATTGTGTGATGACGATACCATTGACACTGAAAGTTGGTATGAAAGAAGTGTGGTAAATTTAATGTCAGATATAGGAACTAAATAGGAGATTGAATACTGAGAACAGGAAATTGAATTTGGTGGTTTGGAGGCCACTAATCATTATTATGGGAGTAGTTTTAGATGGCAGTGGAATTTGAGTCATAGTTATGGATGGAGTGATTGTAGGTCTGTGGAGGTAGGGATTGGTCTCTCATTCACTTCTATATCTCTAGTGCTTAGAACATTGCCTGGTATATTGTAGGCACTTACTATTTGTTTAATGAATGGGTGAGTGGAAAAGTGGAGTCATTGAATATAGAGTCAAGAAGAGTAGTCTTTGAGGAAGTTCAGTGGCTTAAAAAAAGGGTGAAAAATGGAGCACAAAGTCAGAAATTTTTGTTGTTTACTTTTTTTTTTTGTGTGTGTGTGTGTGTGTGTTGTGTGCATACATGCATGTGTGGCAGAGGACACATGCCAGGTTTCCCCCCCTCCCCTTGCAAGGAAGTTCTTTACTGATTGAGGTATTACCTCAGCCCTTGTTTGTTCCTTTTTAAGGAAAGGAACATCTGAACCAATGTATAGGTTAAACTGCAGAGCAGTAGAGAAGGGGGTACTGGGAGAGGCTGGTGAGGAGACAATGCACCCAGCAAGCAAAGTGCAGCCACTATGGAACTGGGGCCTAGGGTACAGGTGGAACTCCAGAAAGGAGGAAGCCTGCTTCTTACCTGGAGATAGGAGAAAAAGCATAAGGAAATCAAGTTCCTACATAGAACACAATGTAAAATAATACTGTGCAGTCCAGTCCTGCTAAGTTAACATCAGTTCAATCTAGTTTGCTGTTGTCACTGTCACTTCTCTTTCTCGAAATAGTTCTTAAGGCAGAAGCATATTTTTACATCCTTTAATGTCCCTTTCTGCCCTTCCTTCTTTATCTGCCTGCCCACTCTCTCTCCTTTCAGAGCAGAAGTACTCAGTGTTACAGATGCTTAAATGCTTGACTCTGTTAAAAGATACACAGTCTCTCAGATCTGTCCAACCTTTTGAAATTGTGATGCAACATTGTCATCTATAAAGTTCACACTTGAGAACCTTGCAGTTCAATTACTTACACACACAGGAAAGTGCCCCCCAGAAACCCCCGAAAAACAAAACCAGAAAGAACCTCATAATGTTGTAGTAAGCACAAAAAACACAAAGAAAAAAAAAATCTCATAATGTTTTATTTAGTAAGCTTAACGATTTTGTGTTGGGCTCCATTCATGGTGGTCTTTGGCTGCATGTGACCCCTGGCCACAAGTTGGACACATAGGCTGAATGTCTAACTGAGACACTGGGTAGTTTTTGACATGCGTTTTTCAAATTGATAAAGTGTGACTCTTTTTAAGCATACTTTTCAGCTAAGGTATAGTTAACTGCCTTCTAGTTTGATGAAGACAAAGTTAATGCATTGCTTCCAAAGCAGCTTCAGTAGTAAATGTAAATTTCTCTGGTAAACTACTATTTATCAATCATTAATCTGTAAATTTGCTTTATTTTGAAATAGCAAGAACTATGAAAAATGTTACTTTTCTGTTTGCCCATGTGTGGGTTTTGCTTATGGGAAAATGTTTTTAGTAGAGATGTAGAAATCAACTAGATTAATGTATAATATAAACAGTGACTTTTCTGTATGACTTCTTACTGGTTTTTCTTAATCAAAACAACTTTTGACGTTATTTTTTATGAGGTCAGCCTAACTTGCTGGAAACAAACTTATCTTCATTCTGCTTCATACATCCCACTGACAACATGGGAGTCGTCAGCTCAGGATCTGGCTGTAGATTTTTTGCCAGCAGCCACTGATAATGATGTATAGGTTGTATAGAAGCAGATTTTGTTCATTTTCTGTCATGGTCTCCATCTCAAATTAGATTGGTCATAGATAGGTTATAGAAATAAACCCTTAGTGTGAAAAACTGTTTTTCTCTCCTTGGTAAATGCTCTTGAATATTAACTTGAAAATAAAATAACCAGTGTTAAACTTTACCCCTGAGGCACTGTTGCAGTTATTAGTTACACTTCTGAAACTGCCCAGGATAAGAGAATTTTTAAAATGATAGACTTCTTAGACTCCTTGTGGAAGAAATAAACTTGATATAGATTCAGTATATAAAACTAATAGCATTATCAATAGCATGCTGCTCCTCTTTAGTACTAGCCAGCATTCACACTTCTTATTACATACTTGTAAGGGTTTCATTTTCCCCACTGTCCATCTCATCTGAATTAGTGTTTTTCAGGTGCTCCTCATTCGCCAAATGCTTGTGCTTTTCTACTTTTATGAGTCTTTGAGTCCTACTTCTTGCCTTCTGCTCTAGTAGAATAACTGATTGGAATGAAAAATAAGGGGGTGGGGCGAAAAAAATCAAAACACCTTATTTATGTATTTGAAACCTCTTGTGTGTGTGCGTATCTGTAAAATTAGCAAACAAAATTTCATTACCTTGTGTTTAAAACTTTCCCACACTCAGGAATATGGTGTTAAACCTTACATTTCATCTCTATTATATACTCCTATGCCTCCAAACTTCCGATGTGAGTCCTTTAGTAGCCTCACATCTGTGATATTCATAGTATGCCCTGTTTGCTAGTGTTTATGAGAGTGTGTACACATTTATTTCATGTAGTACTGTGGCAGTTCCCCCCACATATGCAGGGAATGGAGTTTTAAGATGTGCAGTAGATACTTGAAACCCCAGATAGTACTGAGCCCTGTGTATGTTGTGCTTTAGCTTACATGCATATGCATATATATACCTAGAAGAAAGTTTAATTTTTTAATTAGGTAACATATTAACAATATGAGATTATACTATAATAAAATTACCACAATTACTAAATGATTAATGGGCTGAGAGTGTTTACAGTGTGCATATTTTGGACAAGGGGATAATTTCTATCCTGAGCAGGTGAGATTTCATCATGATATTCAAAAAGTGTACACTTTAAAGCATTTAAGTTGTTTATTTCTGGACTTTTCCATTTAGTACTTTTGGAGCATCATTGACCGTGGGTAAGTGAAACTGTGGATGAGGACTAACACTAAGTTCTGTTGATGGTCTGTGCTTCATTCATTCTCTGCTTAAGCTTACTGGATTGCACGCATTCTGTTATATATTTTAAGGCCTCCTGATAAGCATTTCTTTTTTTTTTCTTTTTCTTTTCTCCTCCTCCTTCTCCTCATCCCTTTCTAATTTTAGCCTTGCCTCTGCTGTGCGCACTATGGTCCTCTTTCCTTTGTAATGGTCCTGGTCCAGAAGCTCATCCTTAAATTCCTTGTCCTCCTCCTCCTCCTCCTCCTTTCTTCTTTTTCTTCTTTAATCTTTTTGAGACAGGATTTCCCTGTAGACCAGGCTGGCCTGATCTTCACAAAGATCCACCTGCCTCCGCCTCCCTGAGTACTAGGATTAAAGGCATGTGCCACCACACCCAGCTACTGATGGGCATTTCTTTAACAACAGTCTGTAATTTTTCTGAAGTCCTCCTTTAGTTCAAATAAGTGAAAAGGTTTTTACTTTATTTTGGTGGATGGATATATAAGAACATCATTTTAACAGTGGTTGCTCATTGTAATGACAAAAATTCTCCAAGATGCAGAATTTGCTTTGACTTTGTGAGTTACTCTTGTCATTTGTGGTAAAACGGTAATAATAGCAACTTCTTTTCTATTTTTTTCTGAGACTGTTTTTCCAAACTGATACTCTTTGTTCTGAATTGTATACTCTAACCTGTAGATAAGACTGTTTTCTAGAACGATACTGTTTCTTCTGAACTATACATGCTGTCCAGTGCTCAGTTGCATTTTTAACAAGCTGGAGCCACATTGTCCCCATTATCAGAGAGAATAAATGTCTTCTTTTTTCTACTTCTCTTTTACTGTATCATTTTGTCTGGGCACAGAAAGGATGGGTTATATATAAATGGGTTTGAGCTAAGACAGTTGTGATAAATGTTTAGGAAGGGGCACAACATTGTGCTTCCAAGGTGAATAAATGATGAGAATGTTGCTGAGTGTCCCATCCTACAAACACACCTTGTTGCTGACGATCATTTTTCTGACTGCTGTATTGCAGCTGTTGAGAATGGACAGATAGATGTGTTAAGGCTGTTGCTGCGACACGGAGCGAATGTTAATGGATCCCATTCTATGTGTGGATGGAATTCCTTGCACCAGGCTTCCTTCCAGGTAATCTCTGAATTTATTATTTCATTTCCATGTAAATTGTGTGTCTTACCCTTTTAAAATGACAGTTCTATACAGTTTTTGCTTCCTACTTACTTGTGATTTATTATGGTTAGTGCAGTACAGAAAAGGTAGTCTAAATGCTAATGATCATTCTAAATAAGCCACCTGCTATAGTGGCTGTAGCAGCTTTGGGTGTAGGGATTATCTAAGTTTTTAGAATGTTGATAGCATAGTTATGAAACTATCAGAATATGTGGAATACAAATTGGTAAAGAGCACTGGTGTATTTTATTTATAACAATATGTTTAGAAAGTATGATCGTTTCATAGTCCTTGGGTTAATAAACTTTGTAGGGCTAACTTTGTAGAATTATAATTGATAGAGGTCAGTGTTTACTGTGTATAGTTAGTGGGCTGTCTCCAGGTGTAGGGTAATCTGGTTAGTAACATCTTTTCCATTCAGTGCAACAAGAAGTTTATTTTTTTTTTTAATTGAGAAGAGAAAAGTATAAAGCACAATAAGAAAAAGACTTCGTTTTCTCTGATTTAAAATATGTTTCTGGCTTCTCGGCCTTTTGGCTAAGATCAAGTGTAGTAAAATATGTTTCTGTGCTTCAGGGAAATGTGGAGATCATAAAATTGCTTCTTAGAAAAGGAGCAAACAAGGAATGCCAGGATGACTTTGGAATCACACCTTTGTTTGTAGCTGCTCAGTATGGGAAGCTAGAAAGCCTGAACATATTCATTTCATCAGGTAAGATCTTGGTTTTTAATTCTGTATGTTCCTAGAAAGGTTAATTCTTGATCCAAATAGAAATAGGATTATGGAATTTATGTAAGTAGTAAGTAAAAGTATATACAAATTGATCTGCAAACCTGGTTGCTAAGTGTCTGTTACTTGCAGAGAAATGTACAACTACAATTTATCAGAAGTGGAACATGGTGATCTGTCACTAGAGCAGGCTTCCTGACAAGTTCAGTGATGCCAGTGTCCTTGCTGCAGAGACCTGAGTAGTTCCAGTTTTCTAGAGTGCACAACTACTTTAGGGCTACTCAGGGTATTAGATCGTTATTTTGTGTATTAAGCCTTTGAGTTGTATATATTTGTACATATCTGTGTGTGTGTGTGTGTGTGTGTGTGTGCACTTGTGTGCACATGACTGTGGAGGCTAGCGTTCAGCATTGGGTCTGCTCCTTACTTGCTCTGCACCTTGAAACAGGGTCTCTCCCTAAACCCACAGTGCACTGATTATGTAGGCTGGCTGGCCAGCAAGCCCCAGCAATCTACCCTTCTCTTCTATATCTGAGATTACAGATATGCATTGTCATGTTTGACTTTTTACAAGTCCTGGGGATCTCAGCTCAGGTCTTCATGCTTATACAACAAGCGTTTAACTGAGCCATCTCTCCAATATGTTTTGATAATTGTCTGATGATTTAAATGGGTTTATTCACAGCCTGGTTACATTTTGTTAGGTTAATGGCAACATGGACTGATTGAAGGTTTTAAAGTCTTCTCTAAGTGTGTGCTCTGACAGTGCTAACCTAAAACATGGGTAGTCAGGGAGAGGGATACCACCAGATTTGCTGCCTAGTAATTCTTTTTCAATACCCAGACTTTAAAAATTATCTTTTAAAAAATTATTTTTATTTTGTGTGTATGTGTGTATTGCCTGCATGTAGGTAAGTGCACCCGTGTTGTGCAATGCCCACGGAGGACAGAAGAGGCTGTTGGATCCTCTGGAACTGGAGTTAGAGATAGTTGTTAGCTGTCATGTGGGTGCTGGGATTCGAACCCAGGTTTTCTGCAAGAACAACCAGTGTTCTTAACTGCTGAGCCATTTCTCCAAATTATCTCTTAATAGACAAAACAAAGTTTATCTAGATAGCAGGGTGTGTTTTTCTTATTTCTGGTTTTCCTTACAGATAGTTAATATTTGAACATTCAGTAAGTGTGAGTTTATGGTGTCTACGAAAAATAATGAATCTGTATCTTGACGTTGAGAGTACTCTTTTAAAACTATTCTTTCAAACTATTTTTTAGGTTAAGAATCCCAGACCCTGGGTTAAGTGCTTGCCAAAGATCTAGACACTGTATTTTGGCATAATCAGGGCTTGGATTTTAGGTCTTCTGATGTTGCCTTTTCTGCCATGTTGTACTCCTAAGCACCTGCCTAATTGAGTTTGTGACCTCCAGTCCCATAAGCTCTAGTTATTAGTGCTTAATATTTTGAGATAAAATTAGTTGAGCTGCATTTTAATGGCGCTCTCCTCATGCTGATTCCCATTTTGCTTTGTTTTTTTAATTTTTTTCTCTCTAAATTGTTGTAAATAGTTTTTTTTTAAAAAAGGTATGTAGGTTGGGGCTGGAGAGATGGCTCAGCGGTTAAGAGCACTGGCTGCTCTTTTTGCAGAGGACCCGGGTTTGATCCCCAGCATCGACATGGTGGTTAGCAACCATCCATAACTCCAGTTCCAGGGGAATCCGAAGCCCTCTTCTGACCTCCATGGCATTGCACAACACGGGTGCAGTCACGTACATGCAGGCAATACACTCATACACATAAAATAAAAATAACATAAAATATTTAAAAAATTACATTAAAAAAGGTTATTTAGGTTTGTTTATAATGTAATTATGTGTGTATCTCACTTTAAAAATGACTTTTTTTTCAGTGTCTTGTTATTTTTTAAACATTTCCAACTATAATCTTTTGGGAGTTGGTCCCTTATTAATTCTGATACTAGGAAGTTGCCACTCAAAATGGAAGGTTGATTTTTTTTTAAAAGTAGGCCTCGTTGACTTAGCCTTTGCTCAGTGATGACATCTTTCTGAGACTCCCCACAAGTGAGGTTCCTCATCAAAGAAGCTTCTAGTTATCCAACATGTTAGAGATTCATGAAAGCTCCGTAGACTGTTTACCATTCCAGGGGTATTTATGGAATAAATAAATAAATTTATGGAATATCTTTTAAATAAAAGGTAATCTTTCTTCTCCCATGATTGATGATGGTTTTTCTGAGATATATTTCAGAAATTTAAAAATTCTCATGATCATTTGATAACATGATTCTTAACACATTTAGTACATTATTTGTTGGTGAGAAAATTGAGGAAATCTGTTTATTGAAAGTTTCATAAAAACTAAGATCATTTTCAGCCTTTTCAAATTTTTATATAATGGTATTCAAATAACCTAGATTTTTAATTTTTTAATTTTTAAAATTAAAAAATTTTTTTTTGAGACAGGGTCTCCCTGTAACCCTAGCTGGCCTGGAACTCACTATGTAGACCAGGCTAACCTCGAACTCACAGAGATCCACCTGCCTCTGCTGAGCTTAAAGGCGTGCACTGCCGTGGCTAGCCTTAGATTTATGATTTTAAAATATACTTAAATCCATCAAAATATATTTTTCCTTTATTATTGACTTTATCATGCAGGGTCATGAAGAAAGAGATGCAGTAGTAAGAATCAGTGTTAGTGTTGAGTTGTAGATCATGTATTAGTCATAATTAATTAGTGACAGCCATAAAGTTTCATAAGTTAGACTTTTCCAGTAATTGCTATAAATATTCCTTACATTTGATAATTTGTTTATTCTTTTTTCTTTTAGACAGGCTAGCCTCAAACTTGTGATCCTCATCCCTTAGCCTCCTGAGGGCTAAAATTCTAAGCCTGTGAGACCACATCCTTTTATAATGTTTACACTTTGGGGGCCCAAGAGGTGGTTTAACAGTTAAGGGTACTTGCTGCTCTTGCAGAGGACTGGCGTTTGAATCCTAGCACACACTTTGAATAGCTCACAAACCACCTGTGATTCTAGCTCCAAGGGAATTCAGTGCCGTCTTCTGGCCTCCTTTGGGCGCTTACATGCATCACACACACACACACACACACACACACACACACACACACACATTAAAATAAATCTTTAAAAAATTTGCACTTTGAACTCACAGAGTACTTATTGGAAGAGAGATTGGAATAAAAAACTTCCATTGAATAGGAGTTTTAGCTTTAAAATGAAATTTAAAATATAAACATTTGTTTTCTTATAACAGAGCAAAACCAGTTTAAATAATTGTCAACAGGTTAGCAAAATAAGTATACTCTCCCAGTGGCATCAGTGAAAGCCTTTTATGGTAGTTGCTTTGAAATTTATTATCAATTTCTTTTGCACAAATCAGAATTGTTGGTTAACTTTTATTTCATGTTAGGTTCTAATGTCAATTGTCAAGCTTTGGACAAAGCTACTCCCTTGTTCATTGCTGCACAAGAAGGTCATACAGAATGTGTGGAACTTTTGCTGTCCAGTGGGGCAGATCCTGATCTTTACTGTAATGAAGACAACTGGCAGTTACCTATTCATGCTGCTGCACAAATGGGCCATACAAAGTAAGTGCTGAAACAAAATCAGAATGGCCTCAGAATTAAAAGCTAAGAAGTTGATCTGGGCCAGACCTTTACCTCCAGGACATTTCTTCTGATCTCCTGATTTCCCCTGTGCTGTTTTCTACTCCTCTAAGTCTTACATTCTTCTACTCCGAGGCACAGTGACTTTCTCAGAGTGCTAGACTCCTGCCTCTGATTTCTCCAGTTAATGACCCCCTTTCCTCTCCCTAGTTTTATCTCAAGCATTGTCAACTTTGATAACCTTGTTCACTAATTTGTACTATCTTTTTATCCCCAGAAAGGTTCTGAGTTTGTGACCCCTGTTGGAATGGAGTCTTCTTTTTATGTGTTACTGAGTAGTCTGCCCCACCTCCACAACTTGGCTGTACTTTTACTTATCTGATCTCAAGTTCAACCTGGTATTTTCCCCAGCTTCTGTTTATTCCTTCTTTGCTGAAAGTACCAAAGAAAGTGTTCTTTTCTGGAGGGAGAGTATGTGGAGAAGTATGGGAATTTTAGGAAATAGTAAGCTGGTTATGTCAGCAAGAATAAGGCTCCCTATCATAAATTGGTACAAACAATTCTTTTTAAAAATATTTTATGTATTATTTTTATCTTTTTATGTGTATGAATGTGTTGCCTGCATGTATGTGAGTACATCCGACGTGTCGTGCACTGCTGCAGAGGTCAGAAGAGGGCTTCGGATTCCCATGGAACTGGAGTTAAGGACGGTTTGTATACGCCATGTGGGTGCTAGGAATCGAACCTGGGTCCTCTGCAAGAGCAGTCAGTGCTTTTAACCGCTGAGCCATCTCTCCAGCCCTGATACGAACAATTCCTAAAAAACATGTTTACATCTTTAGAGTCCTAATTCTACATAACACTTTGTATAGATACTGTTAGTGTTTAATTAAAAAATAGTAAAGTGGTTGTTATTTGATATGTTTAGACAGTAGGAAAATTTAGTCCTCAAGCTGGCTGTTTTGCCACTAGGTGGCATGGTATTTCACTATGTTTTTTTCTTATTATTTTTAATTAATTA